ATAAGATCAAGTAGTGTTCGTGAGGGCCGAAACCCTCTAGCCCCATCGCGTCCTTCCCCCATGGCCTTTTATCACAAGACATGGGCCTCTAAAGGCCCAGACCAATTAATGTCTCGTCTAACTACAACATGGGCCTCCAAGTACCACTCCGGTCCAGACCTCAAACGCTCCACGGGCCCACATGCCATTCTCAGAGCCGCGGCGGCACCACACAAAACCCTAACGCTTCGAGGCTATAAAAGCCACTCTCTCCCGGCGCTCCCCTCTCTCCGCCGCCCCACCTCGCCCAAGCCGCCAAAACCCTAGCGCCGCCGCCGCCGCTGCGAATCCAGTAGCCACCACCGCAACCATGTCCGTGCTGAGCCGCCCCACCCCGGGCACGGTCCAGTGCTTCGGGCGGAAGAAGACCGCCGTGGCCGTGGCGTACACGAAGCCGGGGCGCGGGCTGATCAAGGTGAACGGCGTCCCGATCGAGCTGATCCGCCCGGAGATGCTCCGCCTCAAGGCCTTCGAGCCCATCCTGCTGGCGGGGCGGTCGAGGTTCAAGGACATCGACATGCGGATCCGCGTCCGCGGCGGCGGGAAGACGTCGCAGATCTACGCCATCCGCCAGGCCGTCGCCAAGGGGCTCGTCGCCTACTACCAGAAGTACGTCGACGAGGCCGCCAAGAAGGAGGTCAAGGACATCTTCGCCCGCTACGACCGCACCCTCCTCGTCGCCGACCCCAGGCGCTGCGAGCCCAAGAAGTTCGGTGGTCGTGGTGCCCGCGCCAGGTTCCAGAAGTCTTACCGTTGAGCGATTGCTTGCCGGACCGCAAATTTGCAAGGTCGTTCTGGTTGTTTGTGGTTTCATGTCCTGTCCATGGAGCTGCTTATCTATATCTAGCTTCTGCTTTACCTTAATGTTTTAGACTGGCATTGTGGTATCAAATGTGAGGAGATTTTGAAGACTATTAATTAGTCTCTGAAGTATCTTTTGCTTGTTATTATCTCTGTCGAGTAATTATGATATGATCGCCTATTAGTTATCCCATGAAGTATGTTTTGCTTGTTATCTTATATATCTAGTGTTATATCTAGCACATGATTTGCCTTTCAATTTGTATTGGTATCCATTTTGTGTTTAGTCACTTGTGCTAGTTTCTGTCTGCTTATGCTTAGTTGAATGGATTGCATGACTATGAAAGTAGTGATTGCATTAGTGCTGTTAGATACTGGCACATGTTAGATACTGGCACATGGGATTTTAGTATCTTTGTAGGTTGAAGTGATCTTAATTAACTAGCAGATGCTCAAACGCACTAGGGAATAAATTGTGCATGTGTTTTCTATATCCTACACACTGAAGTGAACTACAAATGAATTCTATCAATTTCGGATGATTTGTCATCTATTCACTGTAATTTTAGAGATATTTCAAATGTTGGCCATGTACACAAGTCAGTGTGACAATGGAGTGGCAAATCCTCATTTCTATCTAGCCAATTTTATTTATTGATTAACCCATCTAGTATAGTGAATCTGCCAATATGCTCCTTCCAATCAACTTGAGTTGCTTGCTTTCATGATTAGTGTAGTTCCTTTTTATCAAACACTTTGGCTACCCCCTCCCCCCGTGGTACTTCTGCTATGATTATTTGTAAGTAGGAGCTGCTGTTATAGTTGTGACTGGAATGGCTCTATTGTTAGTATATGGAGCATCTTGTTTTAAGGGATGTTATTCATATTCCTAATACAGTGTTTGGAGAGAAAAATACTGTCACTTGCCATAGTAGTATTGTGGTATAGATTGAACAGGTGATTGTTTGATTTAAAGAGGGAGCTTGTTTGCAACAGGCCCAATAAAATCCCCAATAGCTCTAGCGCCAGAGAGTGCTCTGTTGAATTGTACTTGTTTGTTTGCTGTTTACTTCCAATGTTCCAAATTGTAAGTCTTTACATAGTCATATCTAGGAATGTAGTAAAAGCTATTGTATCTAAAAAGGCACACCAATTTACAATTTGGAATGGAGGGAGTATGTCAGAGAGCGATAATTGTCTGATGGTCCTTTGTGTGCTGATAGCCCCTACTGCTGTGTTCGTAACCAAAAACTTAGTTTTATGCTTGTACCGTCGTGCTGCCGTTACTCATTGGGTATAATCTATATTGGGGTTTAGGATTTTAGTGACTTTATTTTGTTGTCATCGTTGTTGTTTTGGACTTAATGATTTTCAGTGTTCTTGGTTTGATGGTGAGGCACATCCTATCATTACTTTCTTGACATTGTGTAACTTGTTTATCCTTGCCATTTGCAATTTTAAAACGTTCTCGTTCTGATGTCAGTACCGTGATTTGATGTGCCCATTCTTTGAGACTGTTGGAGGTATACTAATTTGTGGCTAGCAATCGCAATGTGCAGTAGTACCCTTCTCTCATTACTGGCGGAATCAGATAGACGTGATACAGGTGCTTGGTTCGGCTCAGCGATACCGTGGAATCAGATAACGATCTATTCATATTCACAGATCAAGGGATCAGAGATCCTCTCGCTAGTCCCCCATCATCTATTGCCATGACTGCTTACGTTACCTGCCAGGAGACCAAACGCCATTATTAAGTTCATACGTATCATTGTCACAGAATGCAACCCTTGCGTTGCTTCATTCCTGATGCATGGTGTGGCTCTGCCTAATAAGATCTGGAGTCGCCACAGATGTCTATTTCCGAGTACAGCAATTTTCGATCGGCTAGCAAGTACTGGCGCTGGTTTGGACCCGGCCAGGCAGGTCAGGCAGTGAATCTGTTTTGTGCAACTAATAATCGTAGTAAAGAGCATAAAACAAAGCTTACCTCGCACGGTCAGAGGCATGTTGTCAATACATTATATGCACGTATATATATACTATGTCCAGATGTATAGTAAAACCAATGTATTTAGAAAAGCCAAAATATTTTATAATTTGAAGCAGAGGGAGTACCAGAGTAACTAATATATTTAGAAAAGTCAAAACATTTTATAATTTGGAGCAGAGGGAGCACCAGAGTGTGACAGACAAAAACATAAATATACAAAAGGAAAAGGACTGCAATAGTTCTTACATGATCCTCTCTTCAGTACAAACTCTGACGAAACATGACAGTAACACAAAGGAATAACAACCAATAGTAGTGCTTGTCCATCCCAATTAATATATACCTATATGGTAATAAAAAATCATAATAGAATAGCAGTGCCAGAAGACAGCTAAATGCTCTGGCAGGAAGCAATATCCTGCCATGTCAAGCAGTGACGATGTAATCAACGATTACCCTCACTCTCTCATTGTTCTTCAAATCATCTATAAAGATCCTGGTCATTCCATCAGCATGATCATTAACTCTGATATGCACCTCTTCAAGTTTATTGAGGGTGTTGGTGCCAAATATACCATGGAAGGCTTCAAAACCGCATCTCAATTATCTCCTTTGGACATGGCGCGGCCCCAACGCCTGCACGGGGTGGCACTGGCAGTCTGGCACATCGACCAAGGGTGGTGTGGCCTTTGTTGGTGCGCCAGCGAGCGATGCAGTGGTGCCGGCTGAGCGTTGTAAGCATCGGCGATCGACAAAAGGGATTGGCGCGGCGACAGTAGGCACCGCGCACGCACAACCTGTTCGGCGAAATGTGGTACAGCACAGGTGACAAGCTGTCAGGATTTCATTTTTGTTTCTTTTTTATTTTCTATCCCTCCCCCCCTATGAGCATCTTCGAAGATTGAGCCGGCAAATCTTCGAGATTGACGAAGTCACCCCAGGCGCCTCGCTGTCACTAAATATTTGCTTAGTTGCTCTCGTGCACTATGCCTCATATTTTGTACTGTGCTTATTTTCGCTCCTTATGATGTAAGGAACAAGAAGGGTAATAGAGTTTATTGGCAAAGAAGCACTTCAGCATCCCAAGTCTGCAATCCTTGTGTGCTTGTTGAAGCTCCTTGGTCTGCAGTTGGTTAGTTCGCTAGGAAGCGTCACAAGCTAGAAGAAGCTCCCAAACCCAAGTGTTCTCATCCCTGGCCATCTAGATCCAGCTAGGCTCAAGCACCCATTGTGCAAATCTACATTCCAGAAGCTCTGGTGCGGATACATTCCAGAGGAGAAAAGGAAGAGATGGCACGAGTAAAAGCAGCAGATATGAGCTCCAAGAAGCTCTGATTCGCATTGGTGGAAAGGAGGGCACAAGAAGGACCGGCATGCATGTCTGACCTCCAGGTATTGTGCGTTATTTTAACCAAGAATATGTTACCATATTGTTTTGTTCGTTGATCCTACTACGTTCATCCATTTGTACTCTGGCTTCTACACTTTCTGATTTGGACGGTAATCTTTTGGACAATAACTTGGCCTTTGACTTCTCAGGTACTGAACTGAAGGCTGAATACTCATATGTCACAAATTATATAACTACAAAGACGCTCAAGTGCTTGACACTGTGGTATGCTAATCTTACCATCATTATATCCTTCATCTACTTTCACATTTTGTTATCGTTTGTTCCACTTTCCTTCACTTCATGTACAAATAGTTATTAGTGCATATTTTGGGTTTGTGTGTGTGGGGTGGGGGGAGGGGGGAGAGGGGGCTATCATAATTATGCTCCGTGATTCCTCACACAAATATATTCCAACTTTTCTGCCTCATTATGTTAGGAACCAGAAGGCTGCTCAAATCTGTCTGAAAAGAAGCAGTGAAACTCATAAAGTTAGATAATATCACTGACTACTGATTACTGTAATTCTATCATGTAATAACTGTCTCCATTAGTCATAATATAATAATATAGAGCAGTAAAGGAAAAACAAATAATTTGGTCAGAAAAGCAAGCACTATACTGGCCAAGCTGTTGAAAGTTGAAACTTGTAGATACCTGGAATCTAAAAAAACTTATATACCATTGTTCAGCACTGTTCACATGCAATTTTGGTTGTTTTGACTGTTAATTTAATTTCACTACACAGGGTTTGGGTGAAAGCGGCACCTTAACAATATGGCTGGGATGGAAGTGGCTGTAGCATCTGGAATATTGAAGGTTGTGAGTAACAAGTTAGCTCCACTGCTAATGAAAGAGTATAGCTCTATAGTGGGTGCAAAAGAAGATCTCCAAGAGCTCCATGGTCAGATTGTGGAGATCAACAAATGGTTGGAAAGAGGAGATAAAGCTGTGGGGAATGACCCATCATTAAATTGGCTCAAACAATTGAAAGGCATTGCTTATGATGTTGATGATATTGTTGATGAGTTCCAGTTAGGCCGAAAAACATGACATTGGTGGTGATAGTGGTATTGTGTCCAAATATATATTCACAAAACCAAAATCAATCATCTTTCAATGCAAGGCTGCTAGCAAGATCAAGGCAATCAAGAAGAAATTTGCTTCAGTTGTTAAACAAAGAAATGATTTTAGTGCAATAACAAGTAGTTTACCGGTTGGTCACCTTATTCAGCATATGAATTTGACAGTCAGGGAGATGCCATCATTGCCCAACATTGATGCAGAATCAGTGCTAGGAAGAGATAAAGAGAAGCACATGATAATATCCAAACTAGTACAGGCTAATGACAAACATAGTGTTAGTATAGTTTCTGTCATTGGACTTGGCGGCTCTGGGAAAACTACCTTGGCTAAACTGGTTTTCAATGATGGTAACATTATAAAGAAGCATTTTGATGTTAAACTATGGGTTCATGTGTCACAAGAGTTTGATGTTGCAAAACTTGTAGAGAAGCTATAATGCCCTCTGGCTGGCACTCGGCAAAGAAATTTAAAAAAAAATAAAAAAATATTTGCCGAGTGCATGAAGGGTTGGCACTCGGCAAAGAATTTTTTTAAAAAAAATAAAAAATCTTTGCCGAGTGCCTGTAGGGTTGGCACTCGGCAAAGAATTTTTTTTTAAAAAAAAATAAAAAATCTTTGCCGAGTGCCTGCAGGGTTGGCACTCGGCAAAGTGACCGCCAACGGAACCGGCGCCGTGACGGTCGCTTTTCTTTGCCGAGTGCTGTGACCATGGCACTAAGCAAAGGAGTCCTTTGCCGAGTGCAACACTCGGCAAAGTGACCCAAAATGGCAATTTTTATTTTTTTTTACATTCCATCATGCCAAATAAATTCATATAAACATATATCACATATATATCTCATCCATCACATATATATATCTCATCCATCCACACATCCATCCGCACATATCACATCCATCACAATATATATCACATATATAATAATAAGTCCTCAACTCCATCCAAATAAATCCGCAAGTCCATCAAAGTCCACAAGTGCATCACAAGTCCATCACCAAGTGAACAGCAAATAAAAAAAATACAACGTGCACTCATTATGATTAGCAATATAGTAGAAAAACCTATATTTTTCACATAAATATGGCTGGTATGACTAATATGAAGGAAGCAACTGGGATCTGTGAGGTACATCAAAAGCCTGAATCATACTTATTAAAGTTCTTGAAAGCAGCTGTGTCATCTAGTTCTCCTCTCATATCCAGAGGATACGGTTCACCATTTACCAAGGTAAATGGGTTCATCTCAAGAAATGAGAAATCCAAGTCTGCAAAAGAACCAAAGAGCATCACACGTTGAGTGTTGAAACCGGAAAAGCAACAACTACAAACTGTCTGCCTTTGAAAAGCAAGGGTGAGGTACCTTGGAAAACAGAAAATACACCTCTAATGAAATCACCTATTTTTGTGCGGACCTGAAATTCAAGCACGGATCATCAATGAGAATCAACTGAGAATTGATGGTTAATCAAGAATCTGAGAATGACCAGCAGCAACGAGTTCCAAGCCTTACTGGGAACAAAACAAATGGTATAATAAATAAACAAGTAACAGTGCAATAGCTGACCTCCAATGGCAGGGTGGCGATCAATGGAGCACATGCGTCAGGTGTCATTTGATTCTCCGTGGGAAGAAAGATAGTCTTAACCTTGTCCCAGTTCTCCTCGATCTCAATACCTCCACACTCTGAGAAACTAATGGTGCTGCCAAGCCTTTCTGATACAATCGAAAGGTAATACTCTTGGTCATGCGGCACAAATGGCTCAACTATGAAGGTTGTAATTGGAGCTTTGCAGCCACCCATCTCGACCTAGATACATGAGCAAATTCAGTCATATAGATTATAAATAGCTTTAACGATCAGGTTTGTGCTGGTAAAAGCATATGGCAAGATGACCTTCAAAAAAAAGCATGGCAAGATGCTAGTCATGACAGTACCTCAACTCCCAACCGCTCCTTAACAAATTGGCGAACTTGGGCAAGATCTAGGTTGAGGGCCACAAGTCCACTCTTCCCACGTTTCCCAAAGAGCATGTCAGGTTTCACAACCAACTTCATAGATGAGAGCCATGGCTCCTGGTTTGCAAGCTCAGTGAAATCCGTTGACTGTGTGACCTGTGATTAAGCATTCTGAAAATTCAATCAACTGGTCTTGAGGAATATGTAAAAAACAGGGATGCTATAGTGAATGAAAGAAGATAACTAATATAGAACATCAGAACCTGAAGAACCTCCCTTGAGAGTAATCAAACTCGATCTGTGTAACTGTATTTCTACAACCAATAAACTCAGCTAATGCAAAACACTAAGCAAGTGCACCTTCAAAGAGAACCCAAGTAAAATGAACCGGTTGTTTCCTATCTGGTGAATGACAAGTAAAAACGAAGACAATCTGTTGGTGTTACCTAGATGATCTACAGGTTTTTGACACAGACCCAGTTTATCAGAGTAAAATTCCCCTAAACCAAACTATATAACTGCTACTTGAAAATTCTGGTTTCTATGGGGGTTGAGATTTCAATGACCACAGCCATAGACCTTGCAAATCCATTCTATGGAGCGAGCTAACTCCGGCAGACCGGCACCCGATCCTGTTCCTACGGTGACCGCGCGCAAGATGGTGGGTGCTGATTATGATTATCCAAGACATGGAGATTCATTTGGATAGAACAGGAAAAGCAGGAGCCGTCACTGCCAACCTAATAAAATCAGGACTCGTCACTCTGATCCAGCATTTCAATTTGAGCAGCTTGTGCTTTTGAAAAAGCTTACCCCAAATAACACTAAATAAATCCACATGATGCTCTTTTCACAAAGTCACAGCCAGCCAGCCGACAAACAACTATAGCGTCAATACGAAACTAGCTTAGCTCTGTCCTAACTTGCACCATTTGAGCTTCAAGTACTCTACATGTATCAGGTATACCAATAAATCATACTGCAAGAGCAAGCAAAGCAACAAGGTACAAGCATACTAAATTCCCCCTCCAACATTGCATCTCGACTCAACACACAAGGTAGAACTAATCAATCTGAACTATCTTAGAAAACTAAGTACAGTCAGTTCAATTCCCCCTTTTCATCATCCATGTTTCTGATCTAAAAATACAATAAAATCATTTCATGTATTTTATGATTTTATCATGGCTGATAGGAACTGAAAAAACAAAATAAGAATTTGGTACTGCACAAGGTAGGAGAACTAAGGCTCCTTGTTCAGCACAAACAGATATGCTGCTGGATGGTAAAGCTAGCCCTGACCTGACGACGCTATGCAGTAATGAACTTTTGATTTGACAGTCAAAATTAGCAGGGCCATATGCATCAGCAATTCAACATGCTATTTTAATTCGTTTCGATCCAATCAGCTGATATATGCATCAAACTAACTACATTTTATGCTATCAAAGAACCGCATTAATAAGCAATGCCCTGGTGTTGATATTTATGGTACTAGCTAGCAATCCAACAAGCATTGGAACTCTATAGGGTCCGAGTCCTCAAGCAGAAGGCCACTCACCTTGATGGAGGCAGATGATCCGAAGCTGAAGGCGCTCGCTGCCGTCTTGTAGCCCAGCTCCACGGTCTTGCGTGCTCGCGGTGGAGTCTCGCCGAGTGCTCGAGTCGCCGTCTGCCCGTCTCAGTGGCTTGGCCTCTCTGCTCCGTCCTGCTGGCTGCTGCTTGCTGCGTTGCGGTGAATGAACTGGCCGCTGGCACGGGCGCGTGGGCGGCGCTGGCGCGGTGGGGCGGGCGGCGCGGGCGCGGGCGCGGGCAGCGGCGGCGCTGGCGCGGGCAGTGGCGGTGGGCGGCGCGGGCGCGGCGCGGGGGGGGGGGGGGGGGCGGGGGCGGGGGCGGGGCGGCGTGGGCGCGGTGGCTGGCTGCGGCTGTCTGCTTGACTGCCCGGACGGCCGAAAGCGTTTAAGTCCCAACCGCTCCTTCGCCGAGTGCCAAATGAGACAGGCACTTCGCAAAGATTTAATTTTTTTAAAAAAAATTCTTTATCGAGTGTCTCAGATCTAGCACTCGGCAAAGATTTAATTTTTTTTTTGAAATTTCTTTGCCGAGTGTCCCAGATTTGGCACTCAACAAAGTTATTTTTTTTTTAAATCTTTGCCGAGTGCCAGATCTGGGACACTCGGCAAAGAAATTCCAAAAAAAATTAAATCTTTGCCGAGTGCTAGATCTGGGACACTCGGCAAAGAATTTTTTTTAAAAAAAAATTAAATCTTTGCTGAGTGCCAAACAGCAGGCACTCGGTAAAGAAGGCCGTGGCCGAACACCGTTACCCGGGCAGCCTATGCCGAGTGCCGCTCTTTTGCCGAGAGTCTGGCACTCGGCAAGCAAAGAAGTCCTTTGCCGAGTGCCCTTGTTTGCCGAGTGCAATTCTTTACCGAGTGCCCGATTTTTTACACTCGGTAAAGAATTTTGCACTCGGCAAAGTCTCTGTTTCCAGTATATAAGATGCGGGATGCATGATTTGGTTCATGATCTTGCACGATCCATCCTGGGCAATGAAATTTCACTTGTTGTGCCAAAGGAGGCAAACATGCTCTCAAAGAGCTATAGATACTTTTCTTTGATTAATCAACCAAGAGATCTTCAGCCTAAAAGTATTTTTGGAAAGGCGCGTGCTCTATATGTTGATGAAAGTGGTATCATCATATTTGGCAAGCAATTGAAGAATGCAAAGCACTTGCGCAGTATCACGATGGGATCTTTGTATACAAAATCAGTACCCACTGCCATACTGCACGTAAAAAATCTGAGGTATCTTAGCATGTCACACGGGAATTTTTATACACTTCCTGAGGCTATTTCAGATGTTTGGAGCCTGCAAGCGCTTCATGTAACATTCTGTCTTTACCTTCTTAAGCTACCTGAATCCATTGGTAAGCTGCAGAAGTTGAGAACACTAAATTTGTCAGGATGTGCAAGCCTAATGACTTTACCAGATTCTGTTGGCGATTGCCACATGATTTCAAGTTTAGACCTTTCCAATTGCAAGAGTATTCCAGTGTTGCCGAACTCAATCGGCAGAAATAAAAAGCTAAGAGAGTTGAGACTACAATCTACCAAAATTGAGAGGCTTCCATCAAGTGTCACGACACTAGGAAATCTAGAGCTTTTGGATCTTCGGTGGTGCTGTAAGATTCTAGAGTTGCCTGAAGGCATCGGAAAGTTGAAGAATCTTCAAGTATTAAACACAAGAGGATGTAATAATTATAGAGCTATGCCGATAGGTATTGGACAACTCAGTAGACTACAAAATCTAGACACATTTGTTGTGGGAAAGGGCAAAAACTCTGCAGAAATTTTTGAGCTCACAAACATAGCTATGATTAGTGAGAACCTAATTATCAGAGGTATTGCAAATGTGAAGGACCCAGATGAGGCGTGCAGGACATGCTTGAAACAAAAGGCAAACTTACAGACCCTAGAGCTTGATTGGAGGACAAATGATGAGGATAAGGTGAATGCTCAAACGGAGCAAGCTGTACTAAATGGTCTGGAACCACCATCAGGTATTAGAAACCTACATATTGCTGGATATGCAGGTGGGAAATACGCACAATGGATGCTGAAGCAAGTTGATGTGGGAGAACAAAGTCTGCATCAATTCCCATTTTTGGTCGTGTTGAGGCTATCAGATTTCCCAAACATGAAGCATCTAGAGGGACTTGTGGAGTTGCCTTGTTTAGAACATCTTGAACTGTCACGACTGACTTCTCTTGAAAGCGTAAATGGAGGTCCATTTCCTTCTCTGATGAAGTTAGTTATGGACGGACTGCCCAGATTAGAAGAAGTTTGGATGGTAACAGAGATGAACTTGGGTAATGAGAAGGGCAAAATGCAAATTGGTACATGCCTATCAGATATCCATATTATGGGATGTCCTAAATTGTTGGTGAAGCCATACTTCCCATCATCACTGCAGCGCCTGTTATTGGAAGGGAGCAACGAGCAACTGATGCAATCGCCAGGCCAAGGCCAAGGCTCCTCTTCATCCTCTAGTTTTCCATCTTCATTCAGTTTTAGCCACCTCAAGGAGCTTACACTACGGAAGATGGTGATATCATCATCAGGATCACCACCACCCCTTGGATTGCAATCTGGGCGTGGGTGGGTACTGCTGCAAGCCTGCAACAAATGACAGCACTTGAGTCTTTGGAGATTTCGAAGTGCAATGGCCTAACCGAGCTACCAGAGAGCATGTGGAGCCTCACGTCCCTCCAGTCTCTGAATATCTACTCATGCTCTGCTCTCGGCATGCTGCCTGAATGGCTTCAGGAACTCCAGTCTTTGCAGAAATTAAGCATTACCTACTGCCATAGCTTGACCAGCCTCCCACAGTCAATGGGTCAACTCCTTTCTCTGCAACAAATGATCATCGATAGCTGCGGTAGTCTGAGCAGCATTCCTCAATCAGTTGATCAACTCTGTTCTCTGCAAGAGATGATCATCCACCGCTGCCCTACTGTTAACAGCCTTCCCCGATCGTTTGACCGACTTCGTTCTCTGCAAAAATTGACCATCGGTGGCTACAGAAGCATGGAAAGCCTTCCCCAGTCATTGGGCCACATCATCTCCCTCAAGAGGCTGCTAATAGGATGGTGCACTAAACTACGCCTATTGCCTGAAAGCCTGGGAGAGCTCCGGTCTCTACACATACTGGAGATTACCGGTTTGGACGCCCTGACTTGCCTTCCCCAATCCATGGGCCGCCTCTCCTCCCTGGAAGAGCTATCCATCTCATACTGCCCGCTCCTCACATCCTTGCCAGAGCAGATACAAGGCCTCACCGCATTACAACAATTGGGCATCTATAACTGCCCTGATCTGAAGAGGCGATACGACAGAAATAAGGTCGACTGGCACGTCATTGCCCACATCCCTCGTGTATATATTAATGGGTATTGATGCTTCGTTGGCAAGTGAGGAGGAAGTGCTTGCATTCACCATGCAAAACTTTGATCAACTATGTTCATCACTTTATAACATAATACCCATGTAGACACCATGTAATCTCTACTGAGTTATGATAAACTTTGATTAGCAGTTATTCTATTTGCCTTTTCCAAATATATGCATAGTATTCCATTACACCACACCACCATGTATCTTTAGTATGTGTTTAGTTGAAATCATAATTTTGGTTATTGACTCTTGTTACAGCCATGTGTTGTGATTTGTGAAATCTTAATTTTATCCTATTAGTTACTGCATTTTTTTCTCAGTGTATTAAGTTGAAACTCTATTGCTTATGTACATTTTTTCTGTATTTTCATATTTTAAAATATAGATTCTAAATCTTATACTACATTCTTAATATTTATTATAACTAGTTCATCAACCCATGTTTCTACACGGCCTAAAATCTTAGGACATATATAGGTATTAGAAGTTTGTATTTAGTATCTACAACTAACTAAAATTACTAATATTTTCAGTCTCTCGTTTAGTTCACTTTAGAGCGCAATAAGACAATTTTGTGATGAACATATCGATTAATTTTAGCGCTGCCTCCCTAGCCATGAGCCCATGACGCGGCCCAAGCACTTGCCTGACTGCGCGTCTGAAGGTCAAGCCACACATGCCTTTGTCCCTGGAGAACCTGCAGTCGTCCGAGAGCAGACAGCAACTGCTGCAATTGCCAGGGGAATTGCCAGGCCAATGCCTGTGCTGGGCCTGCTGGCGTCCTCTTCCTACTCCAATTTCAGTCACCGGAATGAACAAGCTTGGGCTATGGGGGATGAGATGACAGGGTTAGGATTTGGACGCGGGTGGGAGCTGCTGCAGACACATGACAACACTCGAGTCATTGGAGATGAAGTCCTCCCGAGCTGCCAGAGAGCCTGCGGAGCCTCACATTACATCCCTCCGGTCTTCTGACTGTGTTCGCATGCTCTGCTATTCTCATGCTGCACGACTGGGTAGGGGGAACTTCAGTCTCTGCAACAGCTGTTCACCATGTGCTGGGGTTCATGCGCAATTGCAGCTATGCTTTTACAGTTTGCTAAGGCATGTGCATTTGAACGCAGAGTGACAACACAGAGTGATATGAACTGATTATGCTACAAGAGAAGAGGTCATGTTACCAGCTCAACTCTAGATCAAAGTATATATACATACTAAAGGCAGATTAATTTAATTGGTCCAGAATTGTCGAACAAACCCTCATGATCTCTGTGTGAACGAAATCACTGCGATGATGTGCCTGATCCAACTACTGATATTTAAAGTTCTGAACAATTAGTGCTGCCATTTGTTAGACATTCATATAACTACAAGTCTATATCTGACATAACACACCCACTCACCCGATATAATAGTCATAGAGATGACAAACTTGTTCAAGCCAACTTTAGCCTTACATTTGGTGACAGTGAAAGATAGATCCCTTGACAGCCCAAATTTCATAGTGCCTCAGATAAGAGACCAAAACCTGTATGAAAATCATAACACCAAAACCTGTTATCTATAGGAATAAAACATCAGTAACTTGACGGAATCTTAAAACTGCATGAACAACAGCTGGCTAATCCAATTAACTGTCATATGTTTAATTAACCTGACAGAAAACAAAAAAAAAAACTACTAAATGTTTGACATGTAGTTTACTAATTATGACACTACAACAATTTCAACTTCCAATTATTATTAGAATACAAAAGTCTACTGGTTGTTTGACATGTAGTTTACTAACTGCATGTGAAAGTTCAGACTTTTGTGATTCTATCTGCCAGCTAAATGTACGTCTACACAGTGCTGGTGTTTGTTCGTCAATAATTTTGTAGTGATTTTTCAGATAGAAGCACCAGGAAAGTTGCAAGTTAGCTTACATATGTTAAAGGTAGAAAGGAACTTCAACACTTTGAGAACTCTCTCATCAACATCTTGACACTTGACTTCAACAATGTTAAGGTGTTCTGAAATTTTAGCCGGTCGCTCCATCAGATTGACACTTCCTTTCATTTCAACTTTATACTTAGGTCCCTGCAGTGAAATAAATCATTTTTCCCAAGATCACTCATCGGTGTAACTATTCTCATTTGCAGAAATTGCTCATTATTTATAAAGAACATACCTCACAAAAGAGTTCAAGTGTAAGCTTCTCAAGATCCGGTGAGTGTTCAAGAATACAAACTAATGCATTGAAGTCATCAGGTGTACACCAACAGTCATTGAGAAACAAAGCCTTGAGATTGTTAAAGACAGGGCACCATCTCAAATCACTTTTGAAAACAACCTGGAAAAAAGATGCAATAATGTAGATAATGTAGATGAAATAAGGGGATGGCATATAGAGTTATTAATAATGTAATTGAAGCAAAGTGTTCGTTTACCTTGTCCAGTTTAGAAATCAATACCAAGCTCTTAGCTTGTGATAAACCTCTTAGGAGCACAGAACTGCCGCCGCCATCAGTGTTCTTAGAACTGACACACCATTGACAAACACAATCCAAAATTTCTGGGTGTCACAGTTTTGCACAGACATCCTCACATTCCTCGGTTATCCGGACAAATGCCTTCACTAATGAGGGCATGATGTCAAGTATGGGAGTCATCCCCTGAAGGTCATCTAGACACAGTGAAACCAGGCTTGGGGTATAAATGTAAACACGAGAAAATACATCCAAAAAGCAACAAGTCAAGCTCAGATGCTTTAGGGACTTGGACGAGATCTTGTTGGCAGTCAAGAGACCACACTCAACCAACTCTAGATGCTCCAAGGCCAGGCAGCTGGAGAAGTTGAGAAAGCTGCTGTAGAGTACTACACCATGGAGGTCCAGTCTCGTCAGGTGCTGAGAAACGAGAGGCAGGTCATCTAGCTCAATATAGCACATGGAAAAGATGTGGAGCTTGAGTACTCGAACCCTGCACATGATGACATGGCGGAACCAGAGATTCACCCGCGGCACATCATCGTACTGGAATTCAGTAAATATGAATTCGCAAAAGTCAAGAGGCGAGCCTCCGCGGAGGAGCAGATGGTCCAAAAACTCGCGGTGCTCTTTCACCGGTGCCTGTTCATCCTCATGGCGACACCCTACACGCAGGCCCGTAGTGAATCTCCATAGCTGGGGCCAGCGCCGAGCGAGAACACACGTCCGCACGGCCTCCGGAGCTAGCAGGAAGCCAAGGATGTGCCCGAGGACGCCATCCGGCAGGGCATCCATCATCAGTAACTAATAAGACTCTGGGCCTGTCCAACAATAGGCAGCAACTGGAGTTAAACGCAATCATCAGTAACTAATAACTACATGCTGCACAACTATATTGCATACTGAAAACTGAAATTAGTCAGGTACATCTGCTAGAAAAATGTTGTTCTTTCGTTGATGTTTCTTGGGACAAGATAGAACAGGGTGATTGAAAGATTCATATCTGACACAGGTCAAAAAGCACACCAGTTGATGTCAAACCAGTGTCCAATACTCCAAGACAACTTTAAGCCAACAAACATTCTTGGTGACTATTTTTACTTCCTCCATTTAACGCACCAAGGATTTTGAGGTTGGGTACTCAAAATGTGAAGGACTGTCAATTATTTTTTAACAACCTAGGCCTAATATTTGGCATGTATAAGACCACATGCATATAGGTATACTTGTATAATATGTAGCGGATTTAACACAAAATAAATCATTCTTTCATACGTTCCCAGAATTGAGCATAACCTAAAGTTGTCTAACATATATTAGTATCAATTTATCAAACTATCAATTGTTCAGCATATCAAAATTCCAACATCTGAAATATATATAGAGAGAATATGATTTAATAGACTAAGTAATGGTCAGTGGTGGTGGTTTTGCTTGTAATCCGTAATATATTGAATGGAGAATTGAGAACACAGTTGACCAAATTTTTACTTACAAATTGAATTTCACAGGTTGTAGCTCAGCTCCAGTTCCAGTAGCCCCTCGGTCCGTCGGTCAGCAGCCTATGCGCTCTGCAGTGGCAGCTTCTTGCGCCACGGGCCACGGCGGTACCGCGCTAGGTGCGGGCCCGCCCGCGCCCTGCGGCCAATCGCGCGGTCGACGCGCCTCCCGCCCGCACGCCGCCCGCCACGATGCGCCGACCCGCCGCCCACCGGAGTCCGCTGCCCGCCTACAGCCTCCGCCTCTGCGCCTACTGGTAGGGTTTGGGGGAAACGAGAGAGAGCAGAGGGTGCTGGTGGGGAGAGTGAAATGAGTGATGTTTTGGCTGAATTCATCACAGAGTATTCATTTTAATTTTATTTTTGTTTTTCCAATAAATATATATATTAAAAATAGAAAGAAAAAAATAAAGTATTCAGCTGAATACCTTTAATTTAATAAATCTATAGTGGGTTGGCCATTTAGGTTTCCATCTAAAAAAATAATACGGAATCACTCCAGCATGTAAACTGTAGTAGTTTGGAGACTTGTAGTATAGTACGTAGTACTAAAGTCCCTTTTGGCACGGCTCATTCAAAACGGTTTCACCGGTGAAGTCAAAGCCGGTGAAGCCAGAAAAACTATCTTTTTTCGGCTTCTAGTTCATTTTAACCCCGGCTTACAAAACGGCTTCACGCTACAGTATCTCGATTTACGCAAAATAGATGAAGCCGAAGCCGGTATAAATCGTGCCAAAAAGGCCCTAAATAGAAAGCTACCTTCTACCGCTACTATAAGGTAGCGGACCAAAGAGAACTTAGCGGTTGCTAGTGCATTTATCGTCCGCTGTTTACTATTTGAGTGGTTTAGGTTACGGTGTGGATAATTTCAAAGACAACAAAAAATGTTAAGATACTGATTGGAACTATGATAAAATAATAGGATGATTAATAATGTCCTTTTCAACTGATATAAAAACTTAAAGACAGTTTGTCTCCATGAGATCTTATTCATTTATGCCATTATGTTTGTGCTTTATGTCATTAAATGTAATAGTTAACTTAAAACTTCTAATATTTTAAACCAAATGATATTAGTATTGGCATATGCTCTAAATCTTGACTATTGTAATTTCGTTATTATAATTTAAGCTATAGCTCCTCTTATCTTATCTGTGATTGGCTACGCAGACACTAGCCCACCATGAAGCTACTATTCGCTGTATTTAGCGCTCACTAGAGGGGATTTGCCAATTTCACGGCTGGGAGTCTGGGACAGCCGAGCAAGGCCGGCAACCTGACTTTTAGGGAGCAGTCGCGCCACGTCCTATGAGCAGGGCAGTGCCGGCCCTCGGGGAGGACATGAGGTGCGACGGCTAAGGACTCAAGCGGAGGAGGGGTCCAATATCTGGTATACAAACTTCAGGTCATATAATTCATTAGGTATTAGCAAACTAATGAGAAAAGAGGCAGAACTGGTCATGCGGCCTAAAAAGACAACATTGGCATTTCTTTTCTAGTTTCCTTTCCCCATGGTCCTCGGGTAGAGAGGAGGCGATGAGTCATGATGCACGCAGCACACTCTGATCGTGAGTTCATGACGTGCGCCTTACACACGCTGCACACATCACACTCTAGTTTTCTTTTCCCACTTCTAGTACTTTGTATCTATATAATCATATTTTTCTTTTAATTTAGGTGTTAGAATTTTAGAATATTACCCAAGAAACATTTGTCATGGGTGAGAAAAGAAAACGAATATATTGTTTTTTTAATCTACATTGTTCCTCGATAATTATCATACATCTACAAATATATTGCTTAATCTACATTGTTCCTCGATAATTATCAGACATGTTAAATTAAAAATATGTTATTGAATTTGCTTTCGTTTTACAAGTAAAATTAGTACCTTTATATTATAAGATTTTATACATGGTTAAGAGAGGCCGTTGTGACGAGATCGTCAGAGGGCCGGCACTGGAGCAGGGACGCCCATGATGCGTCAAGTTTAGCCGGCGGCCGGTGCTCCGTCTCTCAGCGACGGCAGTGGATGGATGGAGCACCCAAACTGGTTGAGCATCCGAGGAGGTTCTGGAAGGTGCCCGGACGGGTTACTTGCTAGGGTCACGACAAGGGCAAGGAGGGGAATGGGAATGGGATCTTCATGGAAACCGACATGTGGGGCCCACATTAGCTTTCCCTACTGTAGCGTTGGTCTTGACTCGTGAGCACCGACCGAGTTGCATACTAGTATATACTCTTTGTGTATAATTGTGTTGCGTCCGCGGAATTCACCTTTTTTCTTATTTTCTTTTTCTTCCCCTGTCGGCTGTCGTCTACATCGTGGACACAAATGCCGCCTCCTTCTCCCCACTCGCCCGCACTTCTTTCCCCACATGCAGCAGTATGGCCCGAGGCCGCAACACCAAGCAAGCAGCAGCCACGAGCGCCCCGGCGGCACGCAGCAATCGCACAGCACGTCCACGAGCCACTACGGACAACCCGGCTAGCACGACGAGCGGCAGACCAGGAGGCACGAGGACAAGACGAGTGCGCAGCGGTCGGCTTCTTCCCTCTGCGATTGGCAATCCATCTGCAGTTGTGCACTCGATCTGACTAGCGGCACTGCAAGTAGACCCACTGCGTTCCATCTCCCTTCACCCTCCTGTGTTCCTATCCTCTGAGTTCCCCACAAACTCGTTTCTATTTCGTGGTTTTGGGCAAGAGAACACTTGAGCTCTAGATCCCAATTCATTTATTCCTTACTGATTGTACTAGTAGTAGCGAGACGAGGGCCTTGTTCACTTTGCAAAAAAAGAACGAACCCGATAAATAGTATTACTTTCGTTTTATTTGGTAAATATTGTCCAATCGTGGACCTAACTAGGCTCAAAAGATTCATCTTGTGATTTCCAACTAAACTATGTAATTAGTTTTTTTTATCTACATTTAATACTCCATGCAAGCGGCTAAAAATTGATATGATGGAGAGAGAGTGAAAAAACTTAAAATTTGGATGGCATCTAAACAAGGCGGAGATTCAATTGCTACGTCACTTCTGACACAAAATTGTCTGCATGCCATGTGGTTGTCAGAATGCCTGTATGGAATAATAGTATTATTTCGACTGTCTTTCAAGGAAACATCTTTCCATTTGTACAATATATTATTTTGATTGTCTTTCAGGCCTCAATAGTAAACGGTGTACATCCAAATCATTTTCTTTTGATCAGTAATACCAAATGACATATAGACCCCGTTCGCTGGTCTGAAACTTAGCTGAAACTGGCTGGTTTTGTGAGAGAGAAATACTGTAGCGGCTGGTTGATGAATAGTGTTCTGTGAGGGTGTTCAGCCGGCTGGTAAAACCAGCGAACACGCCCATAAGCTTGCAATATTCAATGGCCAAAAGATAATTGCCAAGTCAACCTATTAATAATTGATGAACTTCTACAGTTAAAAAACCCTCACTGGCTAGTACTTTCTTCAGTTAACCCATTCACAATCTGAAAATGCATATATTACTTGTACACAGATGCAGTAGAAAGAAGCACTGTTATTTGCTTTAGCATTGACAGTATATACAATGTTTGGTTTCTTGCTTAATTGGAATTTTAAGATATAACCGTGCGAGTAAACATGAATATTAATATCTTAAACACACTTGGCTATAACTGTGAAAGTCTACATCTTTAACCTAGGACTTCAGGCTTTTGGTTCATTGAACTTAAAAGTGTTGAGGTTGTACGAAGCAAAACATTATATTAAATGATTAAAAACAAGAGGACCAAATCTGTTCAATAAACTATTGTTCTGACAATGTATTATCTAAAGAGTTCGTTGGTAAAAATGGTTCAAGTTTGAGTCTTTTAAAGGAGGTAAGCTTTGAGTAATTAGGATCATTCAGAAATAAACTAGCTAGACTAGCAAAAAGAACGCGGCTAAACATAAGCAACACGCCAGCATATTTGAAAAACAACTTAGAATTCACGGGCTGGTTTTCTCTAACAAAGGCGCGGCAAAGCCGCGCTTGGCTTTCAAGTACATGTACAAAAAGGTTCACATCAGCACTAAAGCACTGCCCATAGCATACACAGGCTTCTTAGTTCTTACGTGTACTTTAGATTTCATACTACAAATGATGCCCAAAATCACAGCTAGCGTTCACATGATCTGTATGCCAAAAATGCCATGTACTCCTATAAATAGAAATGAACTTATCCAAAAAGCAATGCCAAAATCACAATTAGAACGCCATTGAACCAAGCTGATAGAAAAGGCACCACTGTCATTACAGATCCATCAAGCAGCAGT